TAAGGCAACTGTCTTTGCCAAATTTTAATGTCAAATTAAAACGTTCGAAACGATTTACCTTTTGTCTTTATTCTGATTCCTTATTCTCTATTTGAGTTTTGGAAATAAAAAATTCTGTGAACCTGATTTTTTAATATTTGGGCGCTTGAATATTAAATACGTGAAATTTAAAGTATTAAATTATTAACAATTTCAATTGTCTGAATTAAAAAAAATCCTTTCTTTGTTTCTGAATCATAAAGATTCAAGCTTTTCTGAAGAAGAAAAGTAAATTATCATAAGTTTAACTCAATTCAAGAGTTTGACTTAAAACTCAAATATGTAATGAATACAGCTGCCTTGAAATCTTGAGTTTTATCAACCCTTTTTTCTCCATTGTAACTATTCTACATCTTATTTTGTGAATTATCTTAGTCATTACCACAGGCCTGGTTCCAAACCTCAGAATCGCTGCCCACAAGTTCTATGGCTAGATACGGTTGGCCATTACACCAAAAGCAGTTATGTGGAAAAAAAAACAAAACTGACTGACTGTACAGAATGTACTAAAATAATAGACATACACAGAGTGCATTATAGGAATCAACAGAAATAAAATGTACAAACAGACAAATAGAATATTTGGAAGCTATGTTGAGTCAATCATGGCTTTGCTGGCTTTTATGATAGTGATTCTCAAATTTGTTTCATTAATGTACAAATATGAAATATTTTCACCCAAGTACCCCCTGCAAGCACAAAAAAACTCTGGAATTAAAAATTAAAGCCTATAAAGACATCAGTGCCGGATTTATTAGGAAAAACACTTAAATGCTAAAATTGTTTGGAATCAATACATTTATGGAAAACCAATTTTCTGTCGTAGTAACGCTAAGATGTTATTGGGGTAGTTTCCCTTAATGGACCAGTGTGTATTTTTTAGTGACATATAGCAGTGTAGTTGCAGACAGCAACTCCCTCGCTTCACCCTTCCCTTCCAAGAGAAGCTACAGTGAACATGAAACACGTGAAAAACATTGTGGTCCAAAACGATTCTTACTTTCAGGTGATTATACACGAATGAAAACATACCTATGAATATTATATCCTATTTCGGACAATAGATCCTCCTAAATGTTACACACTGAACCTTAGTTCATTTTGCTAATAATACTAAATGCAGTACTTTTACTTTTAATGGAGTGTTTTTACACTGTTATATTGGTACTTTTACTTAAGTAAAGGATCTGAATACTTCTCCCAC